TGTATGTATGTATGTATGTATGTATGTATGTATGTATGTATGTATGTTGTATGTATGTATGTATGTTGTATGTATGTGTTTATATGTGTACCATATGTGTGCAGTGCTCATGAAGGCACTTAGAAGGCATCAGATACCCTGGAACTAGAGTTACAGATTGTTGGGAGCCACCATGTGGGTTCTGGGAACTGAACCTGGGTCCTCTGAAAAAGCAGCAATGTTCTTCACTCCTAAGCCATCTCTCCAGTCCCAGTTTTCTCAGACTTTAGCCACGGCTGCCATTTTTATAGTGCAGCCTCACAGTGCAGTTGCTGTAGTAGTGTGCCTTCTGGTGGTGTCATATATTTTGCATTTGTATTGAAGGGAGAATCAATTTGCCTGTTTGTTTGTTTTGTTTTGTTTTATATCCTATCCCATATCTCCCAGAAAACTCTCAGCTAGCCAGATGTGGTGGCTCATGCTTGAGAGGCTGAGACAGGAGGATTGCCATGAGTTGGATGCCAACCTGGGCAACATAATGAGTTGCAGGCTAGTCTAAGCCATGGAGTGAGACCATGTCTCAAGACCAAAACAAACAAAAGCCTACCATTTCTCAGTATCCACTTTGCATACACTGAGTAGTTTTGCCACGCACACCACAGAGTTTTAACTTAACCACTCAGATATACAAAGTTCTACTATAGGCAGTACACGTTTCACATGGAAGGCTGCAGGGTAGGAAGCAGGACACGGCTGCCGGTCAGTATGGAATATTTCTCTTTAGTAGAATATTTGCAAAAGGTCCAGGGACTTGTCTCTGGCCCTTAGTTAAAGCAAGATTTTGACAAGTAGACAAGGCCCACATCTGACTTGGCTTAGATACCAGCAGATGCCAACATCTTTCATAATTCTGCCGACACAGCATCCCTGCAAGGCTTATGCTGAGTTAAAAGAATCACCACTCAGGAAATCTGGGCCTCAGACTCCTGCTGGGTGTTCACCTGGTTTACCAATCCGAGTTTATGTTAACCATGTGCCATGTTCTTTGACAACACAGCAGATATCCCATCTTTTTTTTTTTTTTTTCTTTTAGGGGAGCAGAGCTAGAAGTTATTTCAAGGTCAAATTTATCCTCAGAGAGGAGAAAGGATTTTGTTATCAAGAGCAAGCCTTACAGCCAGGGTCCTTGCACACTGATTTAGTGGCTGTGCTACTATTTATTCTGTCTTGCTGCTTACAAAAATTTTTTTTTTTTTTAAAAAGGGTCTTCTTGGGGTCCTGGGAGAAAACAATTTGCATACAAACAACACTCTGCATTGGCAGAATTGTTGAGACAGGATTCGTAATTCATTGGATGAGGTTGCTATCTGTTTTCTTTCTGTCCTGTCTCCCCCATGGCTGAAGAGAAGTAGCTCAGGGTCTACATCAGGAAAATGAAGTGCGGAGGAAGGGGTCCTCCCGAAGGACTAGCCTCCCACAAGAACGTTCATTCCAAAGGCGAGCCCGCTCCATCCTCTACCCAGCATGCTAGTGACTGGAACACGCAATTTCCCACTTTATCAACAGCAGTTAATTAACTGTAATGACACAGCAGCCTTGGAAACCGCTAGGTAGGGAACCGCTCTGTTCCGCCCTCCACCCTGGACAGACAGAAACCCGCCAAGGCAGGGGGCCCGATTCCAGCCAGGACTGACCAACTGTTGTGTCTGGGTTTATCTCCTGCCTCACACACACCCCGTTATTCTAAGTGTGCATTTCCCACACACGGTGGCATATGCCCTAGAGTAGGTTCTGGTGGACGCTCCAGGAGAGAATGTGCTAGAAACGGCACAAATTGTGAACTTTAGGATAATCATGGAATTTATCTTCTGTGTGTCACTGAATTCGATATTATTTGCTTTTCTATGGATAATTGTCTTAGTTCAAAATACATTTTGTGTCATAAGTGATGTATTAAGATTTTTTTATTTCAATATTCTAATTTAAATATTTAAATATTTTCATTTAAATATTCTGGCCTTTGATTTGGTGGGGTTTTTTATTTGTCTTTGTTTGTTTTTTATTTTTGTTTTGTTTTTGAGGCAAAGTCTCTGTGTAGCCCTGGGTGGCCTGGAAATCACTTTTTAGATCAGACTGACCTCAGAATTGCTGATTTTCTCTCCCCCACCCCGACCCCATGCAGGAATTGCAGAGTTGTGCCACAACACTTGGAGCTGTCTTTTCTTTAAGATTATCATTTCTTGGCTCAAAAGTGGGAGTTCTTTGCTGAGTTCAGAGGTCTGAGACGTGAGGCCTACAGGACAGTCAAGGGACCTTTTTGTATGTGGGAAAGGGAGCTTCAGGGAGAGCTCTATAAGGTGGCCAGGGAACACTGGTCCATGTAAGAGCGAGTCACAGTATAGTATAAGTGCTGTGCTGGGACAGTTAAGGAACTTGCAAACCAATTTACACTTGCTTGCAAGGCAGGCAGGCTGGTGAAGAAATCAGGGAGCTGAGTCCTAGAGAGGGGCGTTCCTCTCCCCCCACCAAACAGAGCTGAGTCTGTGTAGAAGTACAGACTGAGCCAGCAGGCTACTCCTTCAGCTGAGGGCAGGTGACAGAGATAGCTCCAAACTGACAAGTGGGGCAGCGAGGAGGAAGCCAGGAGGGATCTAACCACAGCACTGCTGAGGCCTGGGGGTCAGTGTGAGCAACGAAGACCCTTTGAAGCCAAAGTGTGACATAGGCCACCTCGAACTTTAGAAAGCTTAGCCAGAGGATAACATTAGAGGCAGTAGAGAGAAGAAACGGACTCAGGTAATGAGCTGGGGAACTGTCAGCACAGAAGGTGAACTATGACGTTGAAAACGGAGAAGATGGGCCAGGAAATGCTTATTTGTTGTTTGGCTGTTGTCATGTGGCTCCTTATTTAATGACAGGGATTATGGGTACAAATGGTGCTTGGATTGAATAGTGCTTCAAGTGTAGCTGATGTAAGGAACAACCTGTATGCTCTTTGTTGACTCCAAGGGGATAAGATCCATCCGGCCTTATGACTGCAACAGAACAATGCAGGGCTAGAGGCAAGCACTTGGTATCAGTAGCTGTGACTTGAGACAGGGGAACTGCCACCACAGGAGATGTCTAGGGGCAGACCTCTATGAGTAGTGACCCAGGGAGGCAGTCAGCCTCAAGAGTCTGGTAGTAAGTGGTGGCAGGATCCCAGATGCTGTCGTAGGCAATAAGATGTAGCCTTTTGGGCAGGCTACGAGGAATGGAGACAATGTTGGAGAGAAGTATAACATGAGAGAGAAGGGGCCAAAGCCTCAGTTCTGTGGCTCAGGTAGCCACTAAGATACAAGGAGCAAAAGATAAGTTACAAACACAGAGGTAAGAAAGACACATAAAACCCCTCAGCTGTGGAATGGAGCCAAACCTTTTAGCAGAGGGAAGCAGACTTAGAGCATCCACTGTAAGTCACAGAGGGCTCCAGAGCCCAGGGAGTCTCTCAAGTAAGAAGAGGTTGTTTTAAGAACAGAGACAGAGAATGGGGCCTACAGGGCCTGGAGCCTGAAGGACACAGAGCCTGCAGGGCCTATGACTTCTTTTGACGAATTTATTCTGGGAGCAGGAGCTTGCCTCTGCTGGGAACCCAGATGACCCTGGGCAGGGCTGTAGTGTGAGTAGACACCACTCCTCACATCCACCTGAGCTGCACGCGAAGGATGCCAGTGTCCTTCATGACAATGAGGTGTGCCACACAAGCGTGGGGACCTGAGTATGATCATCAAAATCTACATCAAAGAGCCAGATGTGGTAGTGGGTACTGGGGAGGCAGATCTCTGGGGCTCCCTGGTCAGCTCTCCAGATCAATGAGAGACCCTATTTTTAAAAAACAAGGTGTAGAACTGGGGAGATATCTCAGCAAAAAATGCTTTTGTTGTGTAAACATTAAGGTTGGACTTCAGATCCCCAGAACACATGTTGATATCTGCTGGGCATGGTGGCCTGTGTATATATAATTCAGATGCTTGGAAGACAGAGGCTCCCCAGGGCAAGCTGGCTGGCTAGACCGACTATATCACTGAGCTCTGAGTTTGATGAGAGGCCCCGCCTCAGTGAATAAAGTGGAGAAACATGAAGGAAGACTCAAACAACTGTCACAGGCCTCCACACACACATGTATACACACACACACACACACAAGTGGACAGCTCCTGTGCAATGACAGTGTACCCAAGGTTACCTTCTAGATGTGGAACCATATGTGCCAACCCACTCACATGAACACACACACATGTACACGTACACGCACACACACGTATACAAATACACATAAAGATCAAAATATCCACGTATTTTTAAGAGAAATATTTTAGAGAGTTGGGAGTTGCCCAGGACAGGACCCAGCCCCCCAGCACCTCCCCCAGACAATGCTGTAAGTTGTGCGGTGGAGGCTTTCCCACTCATGTCCTTGTTTCAAGGAGACAGAGCTTATGCTGAAAGGTGTGTGGTTTTCTATCTTATGTCTTGTAATAGTCATGAAAGATTAAATAAAACAAAGCAGCCTAATTACATTTCTCATAATGTCACCAGAGTCCACTAGATAATCTTCCCTGGGGAACAGGCTAGAAAGGCTCCATGAAATAATGTTCACTGGCCATGCCTTAAAGAGGGGGCTCAGTTCTAAGTGTATGATAGAACTTCCTTACCCACAAAGATGGCAAAGGGTAGTCATAGACAGAGGCTCAGATAGGAGGTGAAAACTCGCCCTTACACCCCACCCACCCCCACCCCACCCTGAGGGATTAAGGAGGGAGGATGAATTTACTGATTCTCCTTCCTTTAAGATCCTTCTAAGCCATGAGTCTCTGCTGCCTGAGAAAGTGACCATGGTGTGAGTGGGGGCGGGGGAGGGTCCCAAACAATGGATGCCCGTGGTGAGCCTCACAGCTTCCCCTCTCCCCAGGCATGACTGAGATGGTGCGGAAAATCACCTTGAGCAGAGCGCTGAGGATCATGCAGAACCTGTTCCCGGAGGAGTACAACTTCTACCCTCGCTCCTGGATTCTGCCCGAGGAGTTCCAGCTCTTTGTTGCTCAGGTAAAGATGGCCTGTGGCCCTTGAATGATAATTATGTCTGTGACTGCAGCTGTGTCCCGGTCCGTGTGCTGGGAGCTGGGCCAACCGAGCCACCAGGAAGTTGAGCGACTTGCTCATACACAGTTTGGCCGCCGTCAAGGCAGCTTGCGGAGTCGAACAGGCAGGGCGACAGGAGGGTTAATTGGAGATGTGGTGATGCTAGAGCTGACTGGTGGAGACAGGAAGCCAGCAAACTGGGGGATGGAGGAGATGTGGAGCTCACACGTGGAATGGGCGTTTCGGGGGGAATCTTGGGGGTGGGCGTCCAAGACACCAGTGTAGTTGGGGGTGCTTAAAGCCCGGCTGATGAGCAAGTTTAACAACCAGACATGGGAAGCCTTTTATGTGTCCTGCTTTAAACTTGTGCCAGAACCCACTTTCTAATGGTCCATCCCTTCTACCTCGAAAAGCAGTATGTTTGAGTCTAATACTCTGGAGCCTTGGCTACAGTTTGAAAAAGTGGTAGTGGGATAGTAGGGCTGAGAATCACTGTTTATTTTAGGTTTTGTTTTTGACAAGTTAATTTCCAGACCACGTCAAAACCTTTGGCAAGTTCTGCAGACCATGTCATAATTATGAGCTTCAGGGTAAAAGGAACAAACGGGTCAGCTACTTTTACTAGTTTTATAGTCTGGGCACTGTGCTTACAGCTTAACAGATTCCTTGTAACCCTAGAATGATTTTATGACATCAGTTATATGAAATCCCCATTTTACAGATGAAAAACTGAGGCTTTGAGAAATTATAGAGTCTGCTCCAAAAGTATGATTTAAATCTAGAGCTAACACTGAGGCTTTGAGTCTGTTCAAATGCCTCAATGTTGTTTGGGGGTCTAATATAAAAATCTAGAACTAGAAATAAGATTAGGATTTACCAAACACAAACATAGCTTGCTTATTTTGGGGCTAGAAGTTCATAGGTAGATACTTTGCACTGTGTATGTGAGACGCTGGGTTTGGTCTCTAGCACTGCAATAGGTAGGTAGATAGATAGATAGATAGATAGATAGATAGAGGTAGATAGCTGATAGATAGGTGACAGATGATTGATAGAGATGGATAATAGATAGATAGATAGATACATAGATAGATAGATAGATAGATAGATAGATAGATAGATAGATAGATAGTGAACATGTGGATCTGTGTATTTATTGACTCAGGTGTGTTTATTCTGTGTAAACTTTGCTTCAATAAAGTTAATTTAAAAAATAGCTATCAGCTCTTCCATGTTCACTCATAGTTCTGATCAACCCTTCCCTCCAGATCCCTACAAAGCACTATGTTAAGGATTAAACAGTTAAATCTAAGTCCAGCTGTACTTAAGATCTAGTGAGAGAAGTGCGGCCACCATCCGTTCCCCACAGCCCTGTGTGAATCCTTATGGTCAGTCCTCACGTCCCTACTGCAGATCAGAAAGTAAAGAAAGCAGTCAATGGTGCCTTGAGATCCCACCAGGTCTGTCACGTGCTTCTGTCCTCTGTATTTGCTTGGCTGACTGGTGTTCCATGCTGTGAATACACCACAATGTGGGACGGTCCTGCATTTGATGGCTATTTGCCTTTATTTCCAGCTGCAGACAAAGCTAAGCTGCCCTGACTGAGAGCCGGTAGGTTACTTTGTAAATACTTGCTGCGTCCTGGGAATCTTAGGATCATGTTACCTTTGGGAATCCCTAACTTTCTCACCAGCAACTCCAGAGTAACATTTCCTCATCTCCCAGCAGCCTTGACAGCTGTAGCTGTTACTTACTTGACACTGTGAGGCCTTTTAGTTTTTGATGCTCTGGAGGGTATCATTGTGTTTCTTTTTGGTGCCCTTTTCTTTTCCTTCTTCCTTCCTTCCTTCCTTCCTTCCTTCCTTTCTCCTTCTTTCTTTCTTTCTTTCTTTCTTTCTTCCCTCCCTCCCTCCTTCCCTCCCTCCTTCCCTCCCTCCTTCCCTCCCTCCTTCCTTCCCTCCTTTCTCTTTCTCTCTCTCTCTCTCTCTTTCTTTCTTTCTTTCTTTTTTCTCTCTTTCTTCTCCTAAAAAGAGGTCTTGCTGTGTGAGTACAAGAAATTCAAACATGACTACCATGCTCAGATTTACTTATGTTTTCTTTTCATGTTCTTTTTGATATTTAAAGCCTTGTTATTTCTCCTCCTCCTCCTCCTCCTCCTCCTCCTCCTCCTCCTCCTCCTCCTCTTCCTCCTCCTCCTCTTCCTCCTTCCTCTAAGATAGAGTATCACTATGTAGCCCTGGCTGTCCTGGAACTCTATATGTAGACCAGGCTGACATTGAGCTCACAGAGATCCGCCTGTCTCTGCCTCCCAAGTGTTGGGATTAAAGGCATATACCATCATGCCTGTAATATATTCAAATATCGAAAACTCATTATTATGTGACTATAACTGTAGTGTTACCCGACACCTTGTGCCGCCAGTCAAGCCTGTCCACACCTCCTCAGTAAGCCAATTAAAAGATTCAAATTAAACATTGAAAGCAGAAAAAAAATTGAAAGAAATTTATTCAGTGTGGCTTCACTGGAGGAGGGGTAGAAAGCCCCTCAGAGGTACTGAAGTGAGATCAGAATTTAAGTAGAGGGCCAAGGTTACACACAGACAAGTAGCCCTATCCAAATGTGGTCCCACCCACCACAGACTTGTAGCTGTCTGTGCTTCAGTGTCACTCTGCATGATAGTCTACAAGTTGTTGGAACTATGTGTGATCTCTTTCTGAGACAAGTTCTCTTCCTTTCCCCAGAGTGAGACTCCTAGGGTTCATTGTATCATTAGCCAGGCAGATGGTGTGAGCTGAGCATCTCTTCAGAATATCTTTATTTCTGCCAGGTCTGTGACAATGGCTCACGTGTGGCAAGCAGAGTGCTTTTTCTCTTCCCACCATGCTTTGAGGCAGAGCCTCTATGGTATGGTTTCCTCCCAGCTGAAACCTTAGGACAATACATTTTCCTGTCCGCTCTACTATCTCAGGTAGTTTTGGCATTTCTGGCATCACTTAGTATTCTCTGCTCTTCTTTGAGAATTCTCTTTTTCTCCTGGGCTATTTATTAATGTATTGTTTAGTTTTCTAACTATTTTTATATTTTCAAAATACTTTCTGTTGTTGATTTCAATTTTATTTTGTGAGTGTTGAAAATTATATACTTTATTATCTCAAGCTCTTTAATTTTTATATGGTTTGTGTGGTGGTTTGAATATGCTTGGCTCAGGGAGTGGCACTATTTGGAGGTGTTGCTTTGTTGGAGTAGGTGTGGCCTTGTTGGAGAAAGCATGTAACTGTGTACTTTAAGACCCTCATCCTAGCTGTCTGGAAGTCAGTCTTTCCCTAGCAGCCTTCAGATGAAGACATAGAGCTCTCAGCTCCTCCTGCACCGTGCCTGCCTGAGCACTGCAATGCTCCCTTCTTGATGATAATGGACTGAACCTCTCAACCTGTAAGCCAGCCCCACTTAAATGTTGTCCTTATAAGAGTGATCTTGGTCAAGGTGTCTGTTCACAGCAGCAAAACCCTGACTAAGACAGTGTGATTAAATTTCTTTTCTTATATCTTAACTTGTTGGTGTCAGTGTTGGGGTGGGGTGATCACATGTCCTGGTGTGTGGAGGTCAGTGTTGGGGTGGGGTGCTCACATGTCCTGGTGTGTGGAGGTCAGTGTTGGGGTGGGGTGCTCACATGTCCTGGTGTGTGGAAGTCAGAGGGCAATGCTGTTTGGGAACAGGTTTTCCTACCTTGTCAGTCCTTAAAATTGAGCTCAGGCTGTCAGGCTTGGCAGCAGGCACCTTCTCCTGCTGAGCCATCTTGCTGGTCCCTCAATCTTTTAAAAATGGTTGAAGTTTTCTTTTCAATGTTGTTTGTCTTGATGGACATTTTGTGTTCACTTGAAATGATCTGTATTCTGGTGTGGCGATGAGGCATGCTATAAATGTCAGGTTAAGTTAGTTCTTCTGGTAATCTGACCTTCTTTACTGATATATTTCATTCCCCTAATTACTATAATTTTCAACTATGGTTATGATCATGTTTCTTCTTTAAGTTCTGTCAATGCTCTTTGCATACATTTTGAAACTTTCTCAGTTTAATGGTTAGACTCCTTTACAAGATGATTTCCATGTCTTAATTCTACTTTCTTTGAAACTGGCAGGTACCTTTCAGCTTTTATTGGCTTAGTATTTCCATGAGAGACTTTTCTATTCTTTAATTTCAAACTATCCACATTTAAAAGAGTACTTTTTTGTTGAAAGTATCTATATAGGTTATCATCTTTTATCCTGCTTGACAGTCAGTATCTTTTAATTATTGTTTGTAATCCACTTATACTTAGTGTATAATATAGTCTTAAATTTGAGTCTGGACTCTTTCTAGTTATCTTCTATTTGTCTTGTTTAGATTAGTTGATTTTTAAAAGTGTTACTTTGTCTCTTCTTTAGTTTTGTTAAGCATATCTATTTAAAAATTGTTTTAGTTTTTTAATCCTAATCCTATGGTAAAGCCTTTTCAAAATATCTTTAACTTATAATACTTACCATTAATTATTACTATATTCCTAAGAGCCAAGCAACTTAAAACAGTCCAAATCTGTTCTTACCCTCAACCTTCATGCTTTTGCAATATATTTTGAAGCTAATCCTACAACATATTTATTATTATGCTTCAAAAAATTAGGTTTTGTTTTGTTTGTCTCATTAAGTCCAAGCTGTTTTCAAATGCACACACACACACCCACTGCTGAGATGGCAGGCATGTGCCCCCAGGCCTTATGAAAAGTTGCTTATTTTAATGAAACTGAAAGCCAAATATATTTGGCTTTGATGATTACAACACATCTTTAATATCTCCAGCACTCTGAATTCTTTCCATAGATCTGGGCTCTTTATTATTTTTGTTTGACCTTCAGGATTTTCACTAATGCACTAGTTTTGGTAGTGCAGGTCTGCCAGTGGCACAGCCCCTCGTCTTATCTGAAAGT